TCCACTATATCTCTGGAAGTTGAAGGGGAATGAGCATGCGTTCACACTGCTGTCAAATCACGTTTCCTCTTCTTTGCCGGATCGTTCAGGCATTCTAAGAGTCGTTGGTCGTATCTATTTGACAGTTATGTACAAATGTTCTTGCTTAGAGTCCCGGTAAAAAACACACGCGCTGCGGGCCTTTGTGGAAAACCCTTCAAACCCCAGGCAAACGGGACCTTATAGTCCTATTTTCAGTAAAATTGCATGGAAATCGGTTTGGCTTCGCTGCTAGTTGTTGTTTTCTGTCATATAGGTACCATTCGGAATGCGCTTGATTCAACTTCTCGTCGCAATGTTCTCCCCGTTGATCAATGTTGCACGACAGACGGGCAGAATAAACAAAATCGGTTATGATTTATGACTTGATGAAAGGATATATAATTCGTTTTTGCCTGTCATCGTCGAGCGCGCCGTGAAACGCTCGACGGAATTTAGAAGCAAGCGCGGTCAAGAGAAATAATCAGAAATAGCTTCCAAAGTAAATATGGAAGCAAAATTTCCTTCTCTTACATTTTCCGGGGTTGGTTCGATTTGGGCCCTCTGATTGGCTGCGGAACTGATCCACAGTCAAGCTGCAAAATTTCCCGCCAAAAACGGGACTGTAGAGGAGGGGCTACACCTAGGACAAACATGAAAAATCTACACGACGGAGAAAATGAACTCTCTTAGGAAAGGCTTCAAAGCCAGAACATCTGTAGTCTAAAAGTAGCATTTCTATCTGTTAGGATTCGCCCAGAAGTCCAAAGTACAGTGTCAAGGTACGTGTACAGCTGATGCTCACCCCATGCACGCGAAATTGCCATGCACTGGATGGAAACGCTGCCCCCGAGCAGGAAACCCCCGCTTGCTGCTCCCACAGTACAAGCCCCCGGGGTGGCAGGAAACAGTGCGCGCGACTCGGACAGTTTAACACGTGCAGTCCCGAACAACCAACGCCAACCGTGCTGTGCCCTGTTTCCAGGCCAGGAGCCTGCACCGCGAAAGTGAGTGGACGAAACGAACGAGGCCTCGTGAACGCAATCGCCAATCCACCCCGCCACCAAGGCACGGATCATTGTGCGTGTAACAGACAACGTGGGCAAATTCACGATCCCACGTGTAATCTGCCTGTGCTGGGTACAAGCGTTATTGTAGCCAGGCATTGTTCTCATACACCACGTCAGACAATTGAACGTAAGGTTACCAACCTAAAACGTCAAATGTGCACGCCAGGTGCATGGAACGAACTCCAACCACACGTACAGTTCCAAGCCCCAAAGAACAGACCCCAACCTTGTCCCAGGTGAATTCGAACTCAGGATAAAATGTGAACAACAATTTCACTAAGACAGTTAGTTCACTCACTGTCAGAATCCCAACCACTAGACCATTGGGATAAAAGGGCTTATTAAGTAGCGGGTCAGTGCGCCCATAACCCCCCAGGACAACGAGCCTGTAACCCTTCCCTAGGATCAATCGGGGATCACCAGTGGACCTCTGACACCCCCCCGCACTGGGATGCCCGAAGTGCATACACCGGGATTCGAACCCGAGACCGCTCTGATACCATGTCAGAATCCCAACCACTAGACCATTGGGATAAAAGGGCTTATTAAGTAGCGGGTCAGTGCGCCCATAACCCCCAGGACAACGAGCCTGTAACCCTTCCCTAGGATCAATCGGGGATCACCAGTGGACCTCTGACACTCACCTCATCCTGACAAAATGCCCCGATTTAATCGACGGGAACAGCTGCCGCTCCACATCAAGCGCGCCATTTGCGCGCACCACGTCGAACACCCCGTCCTGCGCCATGTCGACCTAGCTCGATGGTGTTTCTCCCAGTACGGGTTGCGCCCGGATCGCTCTACGATCGGCCGCATCCTAAAAACCGGAGAGCGATGGGCTGTGACATCCGACGGCGACAACCCGGTGCGCCGTCGGGGAGGCGCCTGGCCTGAGCTGGAGCAGGCCATGGGGCGGTGGATAGCAAACGCAGGACCCGCCGGTGTGCCCCTCACACTCCAAACCATCCGCGACCATGTCGCGGCGATTGCCAGGAACATGGGCATTCCGCCCACCTTCCGATGCTCGATCGGCTGGGTGCGCCGTGCATTGCGGCGCCAGGGCGTGAGATGTCGTGCGGCACAGGGCGAGGCCGCCAGCGCAGATATGGCGGCCGTGCGCGACGCCCGTGAGAAGATGCCGCGACTCCTCACGCAGCTCGGCGTCGCCCCGCGGGACACCTTCAACCTCGACAAGACTGCTCTCTGGCTGTCGGTGCTTCCGCGGCGCACGTACAGCAGCGGCCGCATACCAGGCCGCAAGGTCTCGAAGGAGCGATTGACTGTCGCATTCCTCGTGAATGCGGACGGTAGCCATGCTTTCCGGCCGCTTGTGATCAGCAAGGCGAAGAGGCAGCATGACTTCCGGCCTGACTACGACCCTGAGGCGCTATGCTACTGGCGCCATAACGCCAAAGGGTGGATGACCTCGCCAGTAAGCATCTTTGCGTTCGATGTGCACATTTTTGAGTCTCATTGCTTTTTAGCGCAATTTTTTCATGTGTCTGTTCTCACGATGATGCCGACCGTGCCCCCTTCTTCCATGCCATCCCGTCCAACAGGTATTCACGCATTTCATTACTCAACTCAACGCGTCGATGTTTGCCGAGGGTCGCAAAACAGTGGTGCTGCTGGACAACGCGAGCAGCCACATGCTGCGCTCTCAAGATGCATGGAGCGAGATCGTGTGCGGCGTCAGGACCACGTGCATGAGCCACGTGCGGCTTGTCTTCCTGCCGCCCAATACCACGGCATTCATTCAGCCGCTTGACCAGGGCATAATCGCCACCGCGAAGGCCCGCTACCGCCAGCATTGGCTGCGGGCCTTCTCGGGTTTATGGAACGCCGACGGAGCGACTTCCGCGGTTGCTCGATTCAGGCCGAATCTACGAGATGTGCTCGGGTGGCTGTCGGAGTCGTGGACCTCCGTCGGCGCGCGCACCATTCAACGGTGCTGGTGGCGCACGGGGTGTCTTCCCCTCTCGTGGTCACTGGAGCTGCCGCACGTGCATGACGACGAGCCCATCCCCGCAGCTTATCCCGACATCGAACTCGACGATGACATCGATGATGTCGGGACGCTTATTAACAGGCTCGCCCTCGGGGATGCGGCAATGACGGCGGCGGAATACGTCGCCATCGACGACGCGAAGCCCACGTGTGCGGAAGGCACGGCACACCCGCCCGTGACAGAGGAAGAGATGCGCTTGGAGGTGGAGCTCTGGCAAGCGCCGACGACCATGCAGGCCGTCTACGACGACGCCGACCCCGTGTGCCGTGAAGCGCGCCGCACTGCTCGTGCGGCGTGCGAGATGCTCATCGGCTACGCCCGGGCCACCCGCATCACTCCGCGCGATCTGTGCGCTCTTTTCGACATCCGCAATCCAATGGTAATCGCGCGGATGGAGCGCGCGAGCCCGGGATTCAATCTCAACGTGGCGCCGCAGCCCGTACCCTCCCCCGGCGCAACCCCCACTCCCGAGACCCCTCGTCCGCGGGGCCGTGTGCTGCCCGACTGGATGACCCGCCCGTCCCGCCGTCAGCAGCTGCTTGATGCCGGGGTGGGCGCCGTGATGGACGGCTATGTGGATGCAGCTGAATGGATGCGTCTGTGAGAGGGGGTGGAGCAGCCAGAGCAAAGTGTCGAGTGAATTTTGCAGGGCCCCTGTGATCAAAACATTGTGTCCATTTCAGTGTGTTTCGTTTCGTGTGTTGTGTTGCTATGGGGGGCTAGGTGGGAGTTGTTGATTGGATGTCTATGTTGTTTTAGTTGTTTCTCACCTTGAGGAATAATTGATGTGCACGCCTGATTCATTACTGTAGTGGTCGTGTAGTAACATTGAACACACGAAGGAGACAAGCACGGCAAACCCCCACTGTTACGAAACAAACAAAAGGTGAGGTAACCATTTGCGGGTTAGAGGCACGTGATACGCGTGACGAAAGGAACGAACCTCTGGCGAAATGAGTTTTAGCTTATAGTCCCAGAGAACAAGGCAACCGGGAGGAGCTCTAACGAGCATCAGGTGTACTTCAAAACATTTAGAATCTTGACAAAACGTTTCATGCAGCTGGTCAACAATACTTTCAGAGGCACCCAAGCAGTTTCGTTTTTTATGTCACACACCCAAAGGCGAGGGGGATATCGATCTGATATAATGCTCAGTGTCACAAACTATCCACATGCTATTAGACACTACACTTGCGCGGGCCAGTTCATACAGTTGCGAACTCTAACTTGACTGAGGTGCCCGAAAGGGTGTAGGACCCGATATGGTACATTCTGACACATGTTCCAGTCCCAGATATACAGTGGGTTTCTATTTTTCCGACCAGGTTTGCCAGGGTGCGAGCATTTGGCACTCGCTCACTCCCCTCTTGGATATGAACAGCACACACACCATTCCGTTCCAGCAGGCTATCGAACAGAGACACTTTTAGGGGATAGTTTTCCCATCCCAACATTCGCAAGCAACGGAAGGCGGGGGGACGGAGGGTTTGGTGAAGGGATGCATCTCCCGCAACTCCTGCTCAGCCCCATCGTCTCCCTGTTTCGGCTGCTTTTCCCCCTTGCTTCTGCTTTTTCCCCTTACTTCTGCCTTCCCTCTCCGCTTCAGCAACTCCCCTTCCGGCCTGATCCAGGGCTATACATTAATTGTACTTGTACTGCATCCGAGTGAACAGCAGCACACGACTAGAAACGAAACTGGTCATTCAAGTGGGCTTCATTGGTCGGTTCGTCGCCGCATCATGATTAATGCTCCAACTCAGCAATTGTTACGACAACAGTCTTGTTCCTTGCCTCACTTTTCTCCCCACAGCCATTTCCGAGTTGCTCTCACACGATTATTTCTTTATCCATCGGCTCTACGAATTATTCATACATAACGCCAGACACGCAGATTCTCGGACAAAATGCTCTCAGTCGCACGGATCATGGCGGACGATTACAAGCTCAAAGCCCCTCCATCCGTCAGAAATGCGTTCTGCTTTCATCCTGGCAGTACGGCCGTCAACTCCGCCGCGTCTATTACTTGCGCGGCGCACCCCGAAGCAATGCCTGATGCAGAGGCTGGTGAAGCGCACGGCGCCGGTTCCATAAGCGGCTCGCCTGACAGCACGCATGCTGAGCCGAGCAAGCTGGCGCGCAACTCGCGACAGCACCCGCAGCTCGATCGCCTTCAACAAGAGATCGCGGCGCGCGGCAGCAATGCAGGCAACCAGCCTGCTGCGCCGAGCAAACTGAAGCTCAACTCGCGGCCGCACCCGCAGCTGCTTCTCCAGCTCGATCGCCTCCAGCAAGAGATCGAGGCGCGCGGCGGCCATGCCGTTCTTGAGCTCATCCCCGCTACGAGCAGTCACTGTTACTACGGTAGTAGTGAAATGCCGTCCAGTGACTGTAGAGAACCGCCGAAGCTCTCATCGTCCTATGATCATCATAACAATGCTGCTCTTGCTACTTCTCCCGGCGCCGCTTCTCGTACCACTGCCGCGGCAGCAGCAGCAGCAGCAGCTCCTGCTGCTGCATGTACTACACCTTCTGGTGGTAGCCCAAGCACCCTACTACCGCCGAAGTCGCCAGCGGGGATTTCGAGAGGCCAAGGGTTCAGGCAGTCGCAGCGACCGCGTCAGCTCGTCAGACCACCCTCCGTTCCAGCGCGGCTTGACAGCATGATCACGATGACAACGGCTCGTTACGCCGCCCGCAGCGTCGGCTGCCGTCAGTTCGGTACAAAAATTCCTGCTTCTCAAAGCGTCTGCGGCGCTGCGCCGCCGCCGATGCGCATCGAGTCGCCCCCAAGCAGCCAGGAATTCATGCCCATTCGCGACGACTCATCGGAATCTGAGCCTGAAAGCGCCGCCGTCACGAACGCCAAAGATGCCGGCGCCTCAGGCGGCGGCGCAGGCAGCCCCCCAAGTCCACTGTCAAGAGCCGTTGCGAATCACCCTCACGCCGCCATTTCGGTGCGGCGCCATCTCAATGGACGCGTATCTGCGCGACCTTTCCGCTCGTCGTCAAACATCGATTTGGCCGGGATGGATCGCGCCAGTCTTTATGATGACGCTACTACTACTGCTAATAGTAGTGGTATTTGTAGCAGGTCGGATCGGACCCCCAATACCATTTCGATGCCTAGTCCTCCTGCTCTGCTGCCGGCGTCGCCTGTGCCTCGGAGATATGCGCACCGCATGCTCGTCCAGAGCCAGGAATTCGATTTTGTTCGAGGTCCGCGAACTCCGCAGCCGCCTCTGCGGCCAGGTGGTGTCGTTTCGCCTCGCGGAGAGCACCCTCGTCACGACAAACCGCCTCCCAGAAGCAGCAGCAGCACCTCGCTAACCTCGACTACTTGTCTTTTCACGAGAAGCACAGAAAATAAGAAACTCGTGGGTGCTACGGAATGGCGAAGCAGGGTCTCATCAGTTGCTGACGACAATCACTCAACGAATTTCTGCGAAGGATTTAGCAGCAGCGGTGCTCCCTCTCCCTCCTCCATGCGAAACATGAGGCTCCTCGTCCATGCGAACTCCAGCAGGGAAACCGGAGTGGGTGGGGCCATCACCCCAGCCACCAATGACGTCCCCTCTGTTCCAGCTCCTTCCCCACGTCAGCCGATCAACTACAGCACACCTGGACGCAGCTTCGGCCAAAAGGTTGATTCTGTGCCATGCTCGCCACGTCAACTACAGCTGCGAGAGCGCATTCTGGGCATCCGATACAGTTGCGTGAGGGATAAGTTCCACATCAGCAAGGAAAAGATCGGCGAGGGAGGAAGCGGCGAAATCAGAAAATGCCTGGAATGGAGCACTGGAACAGTGTTCGCTTGCAAGACTATTCACAAATCAAATATCACGGTAAGCAATATCCCAATATCCCATTACAGAGGAAACTGGTGCTTGGAATAATTATAATCTTGCTCCTCCTCATGGGTCCATTTTGACTAATGATGCTCCACCTTGCCCTATATTCTGTGTCATTGTTCTTGCAGAATCAAAGTGAGGTATCGGATTTGCGCACAGAGGTTCTCCTCATGGACCTTCTGAAATCACACTACGGAGTTGTGCAAGTCCACGAAGTGTTTGAGGACCACAAGGTATGCGAAACGTCTTCCCCTGCAACGTTTCTTTCGTATTTCACTTCAAAAAAGCCCTCATTAGCACCACAACAATCATGCCGATCTCTTCTTCCTGACCCTTCCTCTCTACTCTTCGACTCCTGTTCAACTCCCTCTCATCCAGGCCGTTCATCTCGTCATGGAACTCTGCAACGGTGGTGATCTCTTTGACTTCATACAAAGCTCCCCCAAAGGCCGACTAACTGAGCAACAAGCCGCATCCGTGATGAGACAACTGCTGAATGCTCTCCACCACTGCCACTCCCTTGGTGTGCTTCACCGCGATGTGAAGCCCGAAAACATCCTCCTGTGCGACCGGGTACCGCATCAATCGCGCGACGGGGATGTGAGGATCAAGCTCAGTGACTTTGGAGTGGCTGGATTTCTCAATGAGGGTAAGGGTCGAACTGGTCAGCCTTCTTTTTGTTTTGTTTTTTTTTTTTTTTTTTTTTTTTTTTTTTTTTTTCCCGCTCTTGTTCCTACTGTTCTCGGATCCAGCGCTTGTGTGTACTCATTCTGGCCCTTCTCTCCCAACCGAACCTTTTCACCCAAATCCCTGGTTTCAGACGGTGTATGCACGGACAGCGCAGGCACATCAGAGTACATGGCACCAGAGGTGGCCATGAAAGCACCCTACAACGCCAAGGCGGACGTCTGGAGCGCCGGAGTCGTCCTGCACGCCATGCTAGCTGGCGCCCTTCCCTCCTGGGCGGCGCTACCAGACGGGTTCAAAGAGGAGGCTGAAAGCATGAGCGACGGTAGCAGGAAGGGGAAGGCAACGACGATGCAGGAGGGAATTGCACGGAACGATCTTAAACTGAAGAGCCGGGTGTGGAGGGGTGTGTCGGAGGAGGCTAAGCATCTGCTGAGAGCCTTGCTGAGGAAGGACCCGGCGGAAAGACCCTCGGCTTTAGAGGCATTGAGTGAGTGCGGTGCTGCTATGCATTGGGTGCGGTGCGGTTCTGTGGTATTGGGTGCTGGGCTAGTGCGGTGCAGTGAGGCATTGGGTACGTGTGGTGCTATAAGGACTGCGAGTGCCTCCAGAATAGTAGGCGTGCATGGTCTGGTGCTGCTGTTGCATTAACTACGCAACTATGATGAGAGCATGCATGGTTGGCAGTCATTGTCACGTGTTGCTGATCAGACGATCAACTTTGTGTTTCTGTTTGCACTACCATTCTGTGGCAACTCTTGCACGAATGCCACTGCTTTCTTGGTTTGACGTTGCTTGCATGCGTGATGACGTTCATGAAAGCCCCCACGCATCATGATGCACGCAAGCAACGTCAAACCATGAAAGCCGTCGCGACTGTGATGATGCATGAAGGGCTCTCATGCATGATGATGTTCATGCATGTAAGCAGTATGACGCAGCACCTAGCAGCCGCATGACGATGCTCTACTGCTTACATGCAGTTGTTCAGTGCTGATTCTGTTCTGGACAAGCGTTTTGGGTGGAATGCTCACTGCTTTATGACGGTTACGTTTGTGCCCAATAAAACAGCTGAGAGAACCATCCTTTTCATGCTTGCTCCATTGCAGGTCATCCGTGGTTGAAGAATGCCACACAGGAGTGCCAACAGCTGGAGAAAGTGACTCATCACTGAATACAGCAGCAGACGACTTACGACTCGACTCATACATCAACATGTTTGCTCAAATCCAGATCATTCGTGGTTGAAGAATGCCACACTGGAGTGCCAACAGCTGGTGAAAGCTTTTCAGCAGTGCGTCAATGCAGCCTGCACTAATGTGGGAGAAGCAGTACAGTCTCATTCGCTATTGCTAGCTTAACTAAACAACCTATGTAACACATATAACGACTAAATATTATAATACCAACCCTGGACTGCAACTTACACAAGCGCAAGCCCACTCTTCTCCCCATCGACCTCTCTGGCAGACAGTGCGTGATACTCTCGCTGGTTCCATAACTGGCAGCATTACACTAGAGGCCAGCGATACGAGTAATTGCTACTTCCGCATTGTTTTCTTTTATTTTATTTTCTTTTAAAGCGTCATGCTGCACGCCATGCTGGCTGGCGCCCTCCCCTCCTGGCCGACACTACTAGCCGTTTTCAAAGAGCAAGCTGAAAGCAAGGGCGGGGGCAGCAGGAAGGGAAAGGGGAAGTTGATGCAAGAGGGTATTGCACGGTATGAGCTGACTCTGAAGAGCCGGATGTGGAGGGGTGTGTCTGAGGAGGCTAAGCATCTGCTGAGAGCCCTGCTGAGGAAGGACCCGGAAGAAAGGCCCTCAGCTTTGGAGGCATTGGGTGAGTGCGGTGCTAGTGAAGGCATTAGGGCAGCTTTCTGAATGATAGGTGTGCATGACAGTGTGCAGTTTTCGCCTGAATTTACTGTGAGGCTTTGTTGCTGGCACGAGTTGCGGCTTGCTATGCTTTGTTCTTCTCGAGAATTGGTCTATTGTTGCTGCTCATGCTGGCCATAGTGGGCTTATGCTTCTGCATATTCAACGTGCTTCTTAGTGTGTGGTTTCTGGTTTGTTTTTATTTGTTTGCATGATCATGGTGTCGTGCTTTCATGCAACTGCGTTGTGTTTTCTCTGTTGCTGGGGAAGATCTGGGGTGGAATGGTTACCAGCTTTATGATGGTTGCAGCTATACACAAATGACAACCAAGAGAACCTCCCTCTATACTTACTCTGTCGAGAATACTAGGCAAGAATCAGAAACAGCAAAGAGGGTTTTCACTAGCACGCAAGTGAGTACATATAGCAAACCCTAATTCGGACTGTACTCGCTATAGAGTACCCCACTGCAGGCTAGACAAACATAACATTCGGACACACCCCCATAGTCAAAGTGGGGTACAATCAACACAACAAGCAGGCAGAGCAGCAGTTCACAATTATAAGCAAAGCTAGAAGCTATCACAGAGAGCAAGTGAGGAGGAGGAGAAACTGTGGGGGCGAGAAGATGGGAGGCGACGGCTGAAGCTGCAGACACACGGGCAGCAGGAGTGCGTAGTATTGTCGCTACCAGGCTAAACCCGGACTACACGGCGATAGGCGCAGCTGGCTCGCTGTGCTCCCAGGAGTGCTCACAATGTGGCTACCGGGCGCAGAGCCCAGGACTACTCAGGCCACAGGGGGTCGTGGCTCTCTGGACTACCAGGAGTGCTCACACTGTGGCTACCGAGCGCAGAGCCCCAGACTACACGGCCACAGGGGGTCATGGCTTTCTGGACTTCGGCGCTGCGGACAACAAGACGACTGCCTCCACTCAACTTCCTCCAAGTGTCCCAACCCCTTTCACACAACCCCTGCTGAACCACTAGCACCGCTCACACGCCACCCTCCTCGTACTGTCGAAATAGAAGCTTGATAGGTAGGTAAAAAGTAGGACGGCCTAGGCTTAGTAGCCTAGGCCAACTAGATCGAGTAGTTCGTGCCAAGGGTGTCGAGAGGATTGTGGGAAAAAGTGTTGTGTTCACTATAGGTTTGCAATCACATATATGCAAGTGAACAAAGGTGCACCACCTAACACAGTTTGTAATAACTACACTAACTACAGCTACAGGCAGTTACAGATATAAACTCTGACACTCCCCCATAACTGCCTGCAACAGAAGTTTGTGCAGAACACAACCTGCAGGGGTACACAAATAGCAGCAGCAGCAGGTAGGTAGGTAGGTAGTACAGCAGCAAAGGTACGGCAAGAGTTCCTGCTATCTCCTCACCCTCCCCCTCCCCCTCCCCCTCCCCCTCCACTGCTGCGGAAGCAGCAGAGGGGGGGAAGAGAGGTGAGGTGGAGGGACGGCTGCTGAATGGTCTCACACCCGCCACCCCAGTGCCACTCCCCCAGCTCCCCCACACCCTCACACCCTCCCCCCAGCGGCAACTGCAGCAGCGGGAAAGAAAGGAGGAGGAGGAGGGGAAGGGAAGTTGGTCTCACACCCGCCATCCCAATGCGACTCCCCCAGCTCCCCCACACCCTCACACCCTCCCCCCAGCGGCAGCTGCAGCAGTGGGAAAGAAAGGAGGAGGAGGGGAAGGGAAGCATACCACCCATCACCCCAACACCCGCCACCCCCATACCCTCCCCCCCACGGCTGCAGGGAAACGAAGGAGGAGGGGGTGGGCGGGGAGAAAGCCGCAGAGCGGCTACAGTTGGTCGGCGCGGGTAGGTCAGGGGCGGCTGCAGGGAGTGCAGGTGCGGGGAGAGGTAGCGGCGGCTGCACCGAGTGCAGGAGCGAAGGGGACTGCTCCAAGGGCAGGCGCCGGGTGGTGCAGGGGCGGCTGCAGCAAGTGCAGGCGCGAGTGAGACACCGCCGAGTGCGCCAGGGGCGGGTACGCGGCGGCTCAGGTAGGTAGGCAGGTAGTGCACCGTCGCACGCCACGGGGCGCACGACGGGCAGGGCACCGTCGCGTGCCACGGGGCGTACGACGGGCAGGGCACCGACGTGTGCCACGGGGCGCGCGACGGGCAGTTCAGGTAGGTAGGTAGTGCAGTTCCCCGTCGCACGCCACGGGGCGCACGACGGGCAGAGTAGATGTCACTCGCCATCCGAGGGCGGGACATTAATGCAAATCGCCACGCAACCTAGGCGCGCGACCGGAAAAGAACAGCAGCGGAAGCATATTGCGGGCCCACAGGCCAGGACGGAACTTGCTCTGATAGCATGTCGAAATAGAAGCTTGATAGGTAGGTAAAAAGTAGGACGGCCTAGGCTTAGTAGCCTAGGCCAACTAGATCGAGTAGTTCGTGCCAAGGGTGTCGAGAGGATTGTGGGAAAAAGTGTTGTGTTCACTATAGGTTTGCAATCACATATATGCAAGTGAACAAAGGTGCACCACCTAATACAGTTTGTAATAACTACACTAACTACAGCTACAGGCAGTTACAGATATAAACTCTGACACGTACCACTCCGACGGCTCCAACACATCCACCCCCCTCAGCGGCAGCTGCAACAGTGGGAGACGGAGGAGGTGGAGGAGCAGGGGACGGCTTGTTGATTGTGTAGGTGGTTGTGGTATTTTGCTCTAGCTGGTTGTGGGCTAAGGGTTTGGGCAAAATATGGTGGTTAGACTTGTTGCGGGCTGGAATTGATCTCGCACCCAACAAGCACCAACAAACCTTTGCTATTCACTACAACACCTTTGGTGTTGCTAGTTTAGCACTTTGGGTTGTTGGGGATTGTTGTAGGGCGAAGGTTGGGTTGGTAGGGTTTGAACAATTCGTCACTTTTCAGATCTGAACTCTTGCTAAAGCTAGTCTCTTGATCTAATCCATGGCTGCCTATTAATTCCGCCAGAATACACCATCGCACTTAGATCGTGATAGCGATCGGCCTAGATCTTGGTTGAAAGCGTGCGTTACCATTCTGGAAAGTAGAGATTAAAACCTTTCCAACGCATACCTGCTCATAGTTTAAGGTTACGTGAGCTGCACGCAATGTTCCGTCGAAGTCGGCGGACTTAATCTCTTGTACGCTCTCCAGATTTGCTCGCTTTCCATCAGTGGTATCAGAGCTGGTTAGGCCTGCGACATTCCCTCCTATTATTATATTTTGAATTGGCTTAAGAACCTCTAGATCTAGGGTTGGTTATGGCCCAGAAATTAGATGGCCCTCCTAGGTTCACCGGCTCGGATTTTTCGCTATGGCGGTTCCAGTTTACGCTTTGGCTAGGTATTAAAGACCTAGAGGGCGTTTTGGAGGGATCGGAGCGAAGACCTGAAGCTGATGAACGAAAGGCATCTACTGGAGTCTCTAGCCAAGTGGGAGAAGGAGCTGGGGGAGCCTCTAGCTCATCCATAACTGAGGGAGGTGGAGGTGGATCAGCAGCACTGCGAACCGGAAGGCAATGGCTTAGTGCGGAGGAGCTTCTTAAGGCACAGGAAGCATGGGACCGCAAGGACAAGCAAGCGTTCCAGTACCTGTGTTGGGCCTTGGAAGGCCAGCTAGAGCTCTTAAAGATGCTGATTGACCTGAAGGGCAAGCAAGGAGCAGCTGCACTAGCATGGAAGAGAGTTCAAGATCGACATTTGCAAAAACGGTTGTTAAGCATACTCACTTGGAGGAAGCGGTTCTACACCATGGAACGCAACTATGGCGATGGGGAGACCATGGTGCAGTACCTCCAGAGGGTGGATGAGTATGTGAGGGCATTGGAGGAGCTGAACTATGAAGTAGATGAAAAAAAGATCATCTACACCGCACTCCAGGGGCTGGACCAAGAGGCGAACGAGGCCCTACTGCAGTACCTTCACCTAGAGCAGCAGAAATGGACCAAGGCCTGGATATGGGAGGTGTTGGTTTCTGATGAGGCTCGCAAGCGTGATGCTGGTAGAGGAATTGAAGGAGGAATGGGGGCAGGTGATAGGGCTGCCTCCAAGAAATACCAGCAGCGGCACGTAGGTGGGGGGAAGAAAAGGAGCTTGACAAGTGCCTCGTCCCTGGATGCAACCGGAAGCACTCTTGGAAGGAGTGCTGGAGCCGACCAGATGGGTGGAAGCCTCAAGGGTACCCAGGAGAGGCTCCACCTGTCACTAGGCCTGAGTGGGTGGAGAGGAGGATGAAGAATGGAGCATGGAACAAGAAGGGCAGCAAAGAGAAAGCGGCAGCAGCGGCGGCAAACGAGGAT